CCTTTGGATCTACTTAATGGGAAATGAGCCTCGAACCAGGGAAAACGGGGGGCCGATATTGACCTGAATCGCAATAGAAAGTATTTTTAATTACGCAGAGAATGCCCCGCTATGTGGGAACGTTATCTTGCCTATGCAGCCGAGCATAGGCAAGTAGCTGAACTCGCGCCGCCGCCATTGCCCGCGCCGTCTGCGTCCGTTACCCCGTCACCCTCCGCGACCTTAGAAGCCCCCGTCGCGTCGGCATCCGCTAACGCGAACCCGCCCGTAGCACCTTCCGTGCAACCAAACCCGACCTCTTTTCGCTCCGTCGTACCCGACTCACAATCGGACGGTGGATCGGACGTGGAGGTCGAAACGACCCCCGCTGAAAACGCGAACGCCGACGGCTTCACCGTCGTTAAATCGCGTAAAAAGGGCAAGAAACGCCCCGCTACCGACAGCGACCCCGAATGCGAGGCCGCCTCAACGATCCGTCCAACCGCGACGCCCGCTAAAAAGGCGGCCGCGGCGGCAAATCCGATGCCCGAATTCGCCTCCGAGCGAAAAATAAAGCCGTTTTCGCGGAAAACAAGGACGACCCATTCGCGCAAATCGCTAATATTTGCAGCTTATTAGATAGGATCAATAGGCAGGAACTCGCCGTATTGTCCGCTAAAATAGCGGCCGCCACATCTGGCCTCGAGCGTCTTAGGGCAATTAGCCAACATAAATCGCTTGTGGAAGCCCTTTGGGCTTTTACGAGCCAACCGTAAAAGACAATAGTCCGCGCAATAAAAACGCGCTCCGCCGCGTCGTTAACTAGACCCATAAAAACACCTTAATGGGAAGTACAACCGCAGGTAGAACAAAACCTCGGGCTCTGGTTGTTTCGTATTTCAACGCAAATGGCATAAAGGGTCAAAGGGACGAAATCGCGGAATTCCTTCGCGATTATAACGTAGATAATTTTCTAGTGCAAGAGACATTCTTGAAACCTAGTGTACGCGATCCCAGAATCGCAAATTACAATATTGTCCGCCACGACCGGTTAGCAAACCGTCTGGGAGGCACACTAATTTATTATAAACGGTCCTTGCACTGTTGCCCGCTCGACATTCCAGAGCTAAGTCAAATAGAGGCATCCGCGTGTAGGTTAGCGCTCACCGGCCACAGGCCGCTTGTACTAGTCTCAGCCTACCTCTCGGGGAACAAAACCTTATTACAAAGCGACCTAGATACGCTACCCAACTTAGGCCCTTCCGTTTAATTGCAGGAGATCTAAACTGCAAACACGGCTCATGGGACATCCACAGCATCCCAAATAACAACGGAAAGCATCTCTTTAGCTTATCCGATAATTTAAACTTTAGCATAATCGCTCCTACGACTCCCACTAGGTATCCTACGGTGGACAACTACCAACATGCGACACCGAGTATCCTAGATATCATGTTATTCAAGGAGGTCTCGCTCGACATCGAGTCGATAGAGACAATCCACGAACTAGATTCAGATCACAGGCCCGTCCTGTGTAAACTCGGCCAGAACGCCGGCGCGGTCCCTCCGACCAAATCCGTAGTGGACTGGCATCGTCTTGAGGTCAAACTTAAGGCCTTGGACCCCCAGGACTTAATCGAACTACCCGAGACGATATCTACGTTCGATGACGCAAATAGCAAGTCTCCGAGAAACCATTACTTCCGCAGTCACAGACTCGGAACGGACGGTGGAACTGTCGGGCGATCGACGGTTTAACTTTCCGCCCGACCTAAGACTGCTAATTAGACAGAAAAATGCAGCCAAACGCGCCTTCGACCGATACCGATCTGAATCGAACCGAACCCTACTTCGACGCCTTCAGCTAGAAGTCAAAGATCGTGTATCGGAACACCGACATACAACATGGGACACTCTCCTAGAGGACATCGAGCTGCTTTCAGACTGCGGGCCAACCGCCTACTGGCGGTTGGCCCGCAGTCTGAAAGCAGACCCCGCGAATCTCTACCGCCATTAATTAGACCTAACAGCGCTTCAGTAGCCCTAGATGACTCCGAAAAAGCCGAATGGCTTGCGGACAACCTAGAGCAGCAATGTACGCCGTCGCGCGAACACACCGATACAGTCCACCTAACGGAGGTGGACCGTGTAATCGAGACTAGGGCTGCGCTTCCACCGGAAGGCGATCCTTTAAGTTCAGTGACCCCCGAAGAGGTCCAAGATATTATTAAAAATTTAAAACCAAAATCCGCCCCGGGCCCAGATAAGATCAGTAACAAAATTCTCAAAGTTCTCCCTGGGCCGCTTATCTGTTTACTGGCGACCATTTTCAACACTCTACTCTCCAGTTGCTCCTTTCCGGGCGACTGGAAACAAGCCACGGTTATCGGCATTCGCAAGCCGAATAAACCAGCAAACCAGCCCTCTAGCTATCGTCCCATCAGCCTCCTCAGTTGCCTGGGGAAGCTCTACGAGCGGCTCTTATTAAACAGGCTCAAAGAGCACGTATTTTCCAACGGCCTTCTGCCCACGGAACAATTCGGCTTTCGAGCTAGACACTCTTGTCCCGACCAGTTATACCGCCTGACGGAGCACATCCTAAAAGGCTTAAACCACCCGAAACATATCAGTACAGGGGCTCTTTTCTTCGATGTCGCAAAGGCATTCGACAAGGTCTGGCACAACGGTTTGCTTTACAAGCTGTACACACTCAAAGTGCCAGATAGGCTCGTACACACTATCCGGGCCTTTTTGTTGAATCGCTCCTTTCGATATCGAGTCGAGGGCACCCTCTCCACAAGCCGCCGCCTCACGGCCAGCGTACCACAAGGCTCCTGCCTCTCACCTTTGCTCTTTACGCTCTACACGAGCGACATACCCAAAGACCCCCACGTCAATCTCGCGCTTTTCGCGGATGACACCGCGCTCTTTTATTCGGACCGCAACCTTAGAATACTAACCACTCGATTCCAAAGTGCCGCCGACCGTCTCGGCGATTGGTTCCGCAAATGGAGAATAGAAATAAATCCCGAAAAAAGTGTGGCGATTCACTTCACACGAAGTACTTACCCGTCACATCTTTATAATGGCCCTCGCCAATGCAGAAAGTTGGGGCAAATATCCCTTTATGGCCAACCGCTCCCCTGGGAGAAAAAGGTCAAATACTTAGGAGTCACTTTCGACTCGCGTATGTCATTTACCACGCACATTAATAACGTTCGTAATAGAGCCGCGTTCTTCTCCGGCCGGCTACACAATTTAACTAACGCTAAAAGTAAAATGCCCTTAAGGCACCAATTATTATTATATAAGACCTGCGTACGACCTATTATATCCTACGCATGCATGATCTTCGCCCACACGCACCCTACTCGCTTGTACAAGCTGCAAATAGTACAAAATAAGTTCATCCGCCGGGCAACCGGTGCGCAGTGGTATCAACGCAACGTCGATCTGCACAGCGATTGCAGACTCCCGACGATTCGCGAATATTTCAAAGATCTGACAAAACGGTTCTTCGATAGAGCCGAACATCATCCCAACCCTCTGGTGGTAAGCGCAGCAAATTACCAACCCGACACAAACGCGAACGTCAACAAGCGTCGCCCGCGAAACGTCCTCATCGACCCGGTCGAGGAAGGGGACTTAGATACGCCGGACCCACCGCCGGGGGTCCCGCCGGATAACACTACACCCACAGCTAGTGTACCAACAAACACATTAGTTCGCCCTCGCCTCCGAGCACGGCGAGACCAACACAACGCGTACACAAGGTACACCCGCGTTCCAGGGCGGTTCTCACCGCCCGCAGCCACCGATTAGCTAAAAACACAGTCGACGGCCATCGGGGTCTCGGTCCGCACCACAACTTCGATGGCCCTTAGATGACATGTCATAGTTAAACGCACGCATGAGCAAATGCGCGGCCCTACCCACAGCGGAGGGCCCAAACCCGTGGGTTCTGGCTAGCCCACCGGTTCTGCGTCAGATGAAGCTTTAATAGTCTCGGGACTGAAAGCAAAAACATCAGTTAATACAAGATACAAGACACTATTTTTAATAGTAATGGGAAGTACAAAAATAAGGGGCAATCATCTGCTAGAATTTCTAATATTTTGAGTCAATCTTAACAAAGGCTGAAGTACTGTAAAATAATTTGAACCCTACATCCCTTTATTCTCTTTATTTTATGCTTTGATTACTTTTACTAGTACATAGTCAAAGATTGTCTGATGTATCAGAAGTACAGCCTATTACGCATTTATATAAGTACATTATCTTTTAACATTAAAAATAAAATCCGACACGTAAATTTCATTTAATTCTTCGATAAGTGATATCTAAAATTGATTTGTTTAGTAATAGAACAAACAGATAAAGATAGTTATGTCGTTTTGAACTCAACAGGATAAAATTGTCATTTTATTTATTGGACCTTACCATAGAAGACATTAGAATTTAACGTATTAAATATTTTTCCGAAACATTATCACAAAGGTTACGGTATATTTCATATAATATAAGATTACTTTCATAATAATACATGTACCACGTTAATATTTTTTTTATCAGTTACAATAACTTCAGTTGCCTATTTTCAACTCGACAAAGACATAAGAGTAGCAAAGGTTATAAGGAAATTCATACCTAAATAATGCTATAATATGTAATTTTTTAATCATAGATTATTCACCAAAGGGCAGAATGTCAGTCAAACAACAAACTTAAACTTAAGTTCAGTGACCATAGAATATCATTTAGGACTTAGGTCACGTCATGTATGTCATACTCTGACTGAATAGGTTTATCGTTCCGGCTACGTCGACAACTTAAATTATTTAATTAATTAACTTTTAGCAATGTAGAATAAAGTCATGTAATTGTTTGTACATTTTGTTGACTTTTCTTATTTTTCTTTCGTATCTTAGCTGTTAGCAATTTACATTTATTACAATCATTACACTTCAAAGTCAATAATTTTATATGCAACATATTGTTTACATGTACAAATATAAGTTCCTATGAAGTCAACAGGTCAGAAAACTGAAGAAATTGACCAAATTCAAGAAGAGGAGGTAGTTACTGCTGACGTTCAACTTAATCCAGAAAACATGGATATTGATGAAAAAAAGTCACAAATTTATTCACCAAGTAACAGATTAAAACATGGTGAGTTTTATATTCTGATTTTTTTTCAATACTATTCACTTAATGCATATTAAATTCAAATTTCTGTTATGCTATCATTGATATTAATCTTTTTCACACACTTATTTATATATAAAATTATTAATTAGCAATAGATAATTTAAAAATATTAAAGAATGTGTCTGTATATATATTGGTTTAACAGAGTATTAATTTTTAAAATTAAATTTTGTAGCAGGATACATCAAGTATGTAAGTCTTGTTATATTGACAATTCAAAATGCTGCTCTTGGTCTTAGCATGAGATATGCTCGGACAAGAGAAGTTGTTATGTTTTCACCAGCAGCAGGTAAGAATAGTAGGTTTTACTCTATCTGATCTATACATGTCCCACTGCTGGGCAAAGGCCTCCTCTATACAGAGGGTATCAGGGCATAGTCCACCATGCGGCCCCACTGCGGATTGGCGGACTTCACATATTTTCGAAATATATATATTTTTTTGTTATTATTTCGAAAATATGCAGGTTTCCTCACGATGTTTTCCTTCACCGCGGAGCATGTGATAAGTCAGCACTTAAAGTTAAAAACTTCATTGGTGCCGGCACCGGGGATCAAACTCAGGTTGCTCGAGTATATTGAATTAAAGGCAAGCGCCCGGACACTGAGCTATCACGGCTCTTATAGGTTAGGATTATTTAGTTATAGAATCTTTTTTATTCTTAGATGCAAATTAAAATGGTATATTTGTATTTATATTTTTTTTTCCATCGCACTTTATCATTTACCAATTTTTCAGACCAATAGTTTATTAATTATTCCCTGTTAATAAGAGCCATATTTGATTCAGCCTTTTGAATTTAAAAATTTACTTAATTGTTAAATGTTGTTTATAAACTCTTTTCAGCTGTTTTAATGGCAGAGTTTGTCAAGTTATTAATATGCATTGTACTTGTGATAAAAGAATTGGGAAATTTAAAAAAGGGAATTTGGTCAATGTATACAACTGTTATATTAAATATTAAGGATACTCTACGTGTTTCTGTGCCATCATTTTTATATGTAGTCCAGAATAATCTACTTTATGTTTCTGCCTCGAATTTGGATGCTGCTACATATCAGGTACACAAATGTTTCTTTTGTGATTTAGTTGTTTAATAATTAAACTCATATTATCTTTTGTTAATGTTATAATGTACAATTCATTTGGAATCAAAGTATATATTAAATATTACAAAATGAGTTCATACAATGTCAATAATGTATCATATCATAATATTTTATTAACAATTAGTTAATTATAATGTTAATTCTTTTTTTTTTATTAAAGAAATATTGCCCTTACTTTAGGATAACATTATCTAAGATACTAACTTTCATGTGGACAAACAATTATCTGTGAATCACACAAATAGTTGTCCCGTGTGGGAATCAAACCCACGACCCTCGACGCCGAAGCCAATATCTTGGCAACTACACCATGGAGTCATCAATTAATTTGTAAATATATTTTAAAATACTTTATTGTAAAATTTAATTCATTACAGGTTTGTAAAAAGAATGGTTGTCTTTATAAAAACAAACTATCACAGAGATACTGGAACTTACATTTTACATACTATTTGTAATATTTTTGGAAAGTTACAATAAAAATTTAATGTATAAAAAAATGCATAATATCATTACTACTTAACTACCTTTAAATATATACAATGATTTTGAAAAAAATATTTCAGGTCACCTACCAATTGAAATTACTTACTACAGCATTTTTCGCCGTAATTGTATTAAAAAGAAAACTACAAAGGTGGCAATGGTGTGCTTTGGGTCTATTAGCAGGCGGTGTAGCTCTTGTGCAATTGTCATCAGGCGCAAAAGAATCTAAAAAAACACCAAATATTCAAGAACAGTCTAAAGTAATTGGATTCAGCGCAGCATTAGCAGCATGCTTCATATCAGGATTCGCTGGAATCTATTTTGAAAAAGTGCTCAAAGAGTCTGATATATCTGTAAGTTCCGCTTTATATTTGTTTAAAATTCAAACTAGAGTATGTATGTATAGGCCACTCTTAACTCTCTAGAGACTATGTCTTTTAGAATATGTATGCACTAAAACAAATGCCTAACCTGATATTAAATGCTGCACACACTCTGCAAAGGTGTACTTTATAGTAGTGCATCAGGCCAAGCATAAGTTAGGTGCTTGAACTAGGATTTCAATATGCATCTATTAGTCTCTTTATTATCATTAAAAGTGAAAAAAAAAAAACGAAGGGATTGAATGAATTTAATTTGTATGTTTTCATTTCACATTTCAGGTTTGGATGAGGAATGTTCAGTTAAGTTTACTATCATTACCTTTTGCCACCATTACCTATCTTATTAAAGATTCCATGAAAGACTTATTAGTAGGTTTTGATGGCTTTGTTTGGTATTTAGTCCTACTTCAAGCAGCGGGTGGCTGCATTGTAGCCATAGTAGTCAAATATGCTGATAATATACTCAAGGGTTTTGCAACATCCGTTGCTATAATTATCTCATGTGTTGCATCCATGTATATATTTGATTTCCATTTGACTTTGCAATTTGCAGTCGGTACTCTTTTGGTAATTGGTTCCATATTTTTGTATGGATATGTTCCTAAGAAGAAAGAACCTCGAACATCTTTGAGTGTATGACATAGTTTATTTAATTTTTTTTGTTGTAAATATTCTTATATTATGTACTTAACTACAATCAAGTAATATTCCTTAACTTTAATGTTTTTACATATAAAATGCTATGAATTATTGACAACAATTGAGGGCCGAATCATAAAAATGTATCTAAATAAATTGTGAATGTTACTCTCTATATATGTAAACCTGTATAATTTAAGATTTTATAATTTACATAGTGAGATTGTGAAATATATGCCATTTCTCAAAATGTTATTCAAAACTATCACATTTTAATGAAGTAATAATATATTTTACTTGTCAATTAAACTATTGGCAACAATTGCTCAGCTCCTCTTGTCATTATATGTATAAATTTTATATTATAAAAGTATTTTATTTCTCGTAGCTGCTATTATAAACAAATATATTATATTTTTTAATAAATTGTATGGATTAGATCAGAAAAAAATTTTTAATAAAATTAAGAACAAAGTGTTCTGTTTTCATTTACAATTGAAACATCAGTGGTTTATCCCTCATCAATAGGTATCATCATAGAAAAAAATATTTTGGGTGCCTAGAAGTAAAACATAAAAATGTAAGAAATTAAATTGGGCATCAAGAGCTATATAAAAATCATAATCATAAAGGAAAAAGAAGAAGCTATACTCTCTTTGTAGACAAAGACAGTTAATTATATTTCACCACATCAAACTTATTTTTTAAGCACCTTTAAACAATGATTAACAATTAGGATAAAAATAATATAGAAAAATGATTCTAATATAATTTAATTAAACATATTATATGCTAAAACAAATATTAATATAATAAACAAGTCTATTTATTGATCATTTTCAAAATCAGCAGGATTCTTGCGAGTGAGTCTGTGGTGTTCCCTTTCAACTCCTTCATATATTAAATACCCAATAACAATTGCTGAAAGAGATAAAAATCAGGGCTTAATACAATGTTTATAATAATCACACAATGATAAAAAATTATTTGTAATAAGTAAATGAAGACTGTTTTTTAATTACTCAATTTCATTAGAAGGATAATTTTAATCCCTGTGATTTACAAAATTTTACACTATATGTGTGCTCAACACAGACTAAGATGTTAAATGTCTTAAGAATGATGTTTAATAATATTATTTGTATTTAAAAATAATATTATTGAATTTTATCTGGCTTAAAATTAATAATTTATGCCTAATCTAAAAAAAGTATTATCCAAGTATCAAAGTATTAAAAAATATAGAAAGTAAGAAAATATTAGAATTAAAATAAAATTTATCTGTCTCAATAAATGTCAAATAGATCTGAAGCAAGGATTGATGGATTTTAGTGTAAATTTGTTTAGATATTCTATATATAAAAATATACATATTTAACATTCATAAAATCATTCTCTTCATCATTTCATTATTATAGTTAGGCAAAAATAAACAACCAGAAGTGTTCATTGGCGTATTCATTGAAAACCGCCAAAAAAGAAAAGAAGAAGAAGATGGATTTTTGAAGTTTTTATTTGTCTATTACAATTTTAATGTGAATATTAAAAAATTGAGAATTTTAACAACTTGACATTAGTGAAATTCTTATAACTGATAAAATAAGCCATTAATAAAAAGAAGAAGAAGCCAGGATTGGCTATCCTAATTCAGTGACATTAAAGTAAAGAACCCTTTTTATTACTTGAAAGTGTTTAATACTCTAAATAAAATTAAAAAAATTGGATTGAATCTTTATAACACAATATTCATAAAATGTGATGTGCTTTATCCCTTAAAAATTTAAAAGACTGTATGTGTATTAGCTGTATGTGTATGTGACAATTCTGATCTTTCAATTGCAGTACCATTAGAGTTGAGCATATCATATCATGGAAAAAAAAAATATTTACATATCTTTTCAATTTGGTGATATTTATATCATATATATATATATATATATATATATATATATATATATATATATATATATATATATTGATATTAGTGTTGAAAAATATAGATTAAGATGAATAAAATTTCATCTTAATTAAAAACAGTGTTTTTTTTCCATTGGTTATTTTTAACCACTGAAAAATAACACTGTTATTGAATGTTTATTATGTAAAGACTATATTGAATAATATGTCAACTACTTTTAATATGACTAAAACATGGCATTTCAATTGGTAATTGGTAAATCTAAATTTGCATGCTGTTATATTCAGCTTAACAGTTAAGGCTACAGACTAATATAAACGTCACTGTAACCCTATTACAGCATATATGAAATTGAAAAAACCGCGAGCGAAAAAATTGCGAGTCAAACTATTAACGATCGAGTTATTTTTAACGGAAATCACACTGAGAGCAGTGGAAAAGTGAGTATCCAATTAATTTCAGGTATCTTCATATATTGTCAAAATATTACATAATTTAGACTACGTGCAGTATGTATAGATATGATTAATATTTAATGATATATGATTAACTTACGAGGACCAACTCTGAATATATTTTCTCGAATTCTCCGAAAAATGTTAGGCAATCCATTAGAGATCGCACCAGCAAAAGCGCGTTGCTCGTGTGGTGATAATTTGTATGTGATGAGGCCCCTGATTTTGGCCAAGTTACCAAAATGTTTTCCCATTATAAACAATTTCTACGAATGATGGTCTGATTTTCCTCCCTCTGCTTCAATCTAAAATCTAATGTTAATAATCGTTATGTAAGTTAAGGTTGTAGACAGTGTGACCAGATTTCATATAATGAATCTACTGCTTGTCTAGGTTAAAAACTACTGAATTCTACCAAAAGAGAACGAGAAAATACTAAAAATCATTATATTTTTTGTTGTTGTGTTAAAACCTAAAAACATGAATGTTTTCTGTATTAAACGATAAAGTAATAAAATAACAAAGAAACCACCATAAGTAGAGAAACCTATGTTTTTTTAAGTTAAATTCTAAATAAAAATATAATTAAAAACATAACATAAATTAAATTAAACTTAAAGTTAAGATTCTTCGTCTTTATGTTGGGTAACATTGTCATAAAACTGTTTTGAGTCCATTAACTTGATCATACTTCTATCAAGATCAAATCTCTACATCCTTCTTCCAAGTAACGCCTCGTAATGCTAATAAGCATTATCTTTCAGTCAACTCTGGGAGTAGAGAAAGTTTGACGCAGGTGCAAAACAAAATACGCGAAATAAATTAAAGAAAATTAAATAAAAGAAAAAAAAAGCAAAGATACATTCTATAGAAATATACACATATATATATACAAATATACATTAAATACATATAAATTTCAATACATAAACATTATATAAAATAAATATAAATATATATAGGTTTGTATTTATATATATTTATTTATTTATTTATACATATGAAATACATGTATAATAATATATATAGAGACTTACATAAAAACGAAGGATAAAGTTGATGACTCTAACAATCGGCATCCAACAAAATTGGCATAGTGACATCGCAGCATTTTCTTAAATGATACCTTGCTTGGTGCGTTTCTGATGAACTGAGGCAAGGAGTTCCAGAGTAGTATAGCCTGAATAGTAAAAGATTTATGGAAGAAGCCGGAATGATGCGTCGGAGTACAAAGTATTCTACTAGCTGAGGAACGAAGTGTTTTATCGTGAGTTAATGAGAGATATTGGAATTTTTCCTTTAAGTACTTAGGAAAAGCAGGGTCATTAAGAATAGAGAAGAACCTACTGAATCTAGAACTACGTCTTTGACGAATAGTAAGCCATATAAGCTGGGAACGATATTAAGATATGTGATAGAATTTACGTAAGCCGAAAATGTACCTAATACAGTTATTATAGAGATGCTCCAGCTTATTAAGGAGATCTTGGTTTAGATCCGAGCAACATACATCTGCATAATCCAAAATGGGTAAAATAAGTCAATTAACCGGAATAAGTTTGGTTTTGAAAGGAAGAAAGTGTTTTAAACTATACAGAAAACGTAAGGTGGCAATGACCTTGCGACTGATGTCCTTGATGTGGACATTCCAGCTCAGAGAATTATCCATGTAAAGGCCGAGATTTTTCACCGAGCCGTCAAAAGGTATTAATGTATCGCCGTAATATAGATTAGGGATATTTTTGTTCAATTTAGAGATGTGTCACATAAGTATGGGCTAACAACCATACTTATGTGACGAATCTTTCAAAACATTTAAATTGTTGTTAAGGTTAGAAACCGCATGGTAGATGTTGTCAGTGTCTGTTTGTACGTAAAGTTGGAGGTCATCAGCATACAAATGATACGAGCAATTAATGAAATCAGTTATTGAATTAATAAAAAGAGAAAATATAAGAGGAGAGAGAATGCCGTCTTGCGTCACCCCAGCAGTCAGATCAGTCCAACTGACGGACTGATTGCTGACGGCCGCGAAGATATGATGAGAACCACTCAATGGCTGTAGGGCCAAAATTTAAATGGGAAAGGATAGAGAGAAGGATGTCGTGGTCCACTGTGTTAAAAGCGTTTGAAAAGTCAACTAACACCTAAACTGTTACCTTTTTATCTTCCATACCTTGACGTATGTCATCGGTTACTTTAATTAAAGGGGTAGTGGTGCTGTGACCCAACCGAAAACCCGACTGGAATACACTAAGTAGGTTATGATCATATAGAAACTTGACAAGTTGGTTATGTACACAGGCTTCCAGAATTTTTGCTAGAAAGGGATGAATAGAGATGGGACGAAAATGACTGGGAAGTGTTGGATTGGAGACTTTAGGAAGAAGTCTGACAAAAGCTCTTTTCCACAAAGAGGGACCCGTCTTATAGAGAGGTCCGTTCTGTACGAGAGCACGAAGCGGAATCCCTATTTCATGACCGATACCCAGAGCGCAGAGTGAAACGTGCTGCACGAACATTATTATTCGCGAGGCGCTTTCTATCTCTTGCAACAGATCTATGCACATGATTTGCAGGATACTTTTCCTAATATTTGTATTGCCCTGCGATTTACTCTACGCTTCGTACATCATCTGCAAGCTGTGAGCGAAGTTTTATCAAACTAAAACTTAGCGATAGAAAATCGATTTTCACACGAGTTAAATTATGACAAGGTTAAATTATGACATAGATTTATTTGCTGAACAACAAGCTAGAAGAGTAAAATTGTAATTTCATTTCACAAATGCAATATTATATTTGATTTTAATTTTTATTATGCATATTTTTATTTTAAATCCTATCCTGTGCTGTGTATAAAATATATATCCTAAACTTTTATGTCTATACAACGCGTCATTACAACCGCGACAATAAATGAACACACATTTATAGGATACCTTTATAAATAGATTTTGCCGGAATTTACCACTTTTTTAAATATTTTTGAAAAAGTTTGTACCCGTTTATGGAAGTTAGGGTTGTGATTCCACTGCCTCATACTATACAATTCATACAGTGAATCCCTACTTTTATATATACCCACTGTTGTAAAGTCACTAATTTTTAATTTTGAATATTTAACAATTGTGCGCGATTTAAAAGTATCAAAGTCAACCATTGATCTATAAGAATCATTATGGTTTTTGACGCCTATATCTTTATTTAACATATGATATGCAACTTTATCCCTAAAAGAATTTATTGTATTAGTAGTGACTGGTTTACACTTGATCTTTTTTTTTTTTTGCAATTTTTGGCTGTACAAAGTAATGATCGAATTGAATGTAAGGCTTGTGGTAATACTTGCTCCCAATTTTCTACCGAAAGATTCTTCGTCTTCAGCGCCAAAAGAATCGTTCTCCAAAGAGTATAATTCAATTTATCTACTTGACCGTTACCTTGAGGGTTATAAGCTGTAGTTCTACTAGTGGCAATACCTCGAACATGTAAAAATTCTTGTACTTCGGCAGAAAGAAGTGCTGTTCCGCGATCTGAATGAACGTAAGAAGGCATGCCAAATATCATAAACAAGTTGTTAAGGTGTTTAATCACCGATTTCGAGCTTACATTTGAGCATGGGAAAGCAAACGAGAAGCGTGAAAATTCGTCAATCACGGTAAGTATGAATTTTTTATTATTGTTTGTTGTAAATGGTCCTTTAAAATCTATGCTAAGGCGTTCAAAAGCAGCCCTCGCTTTAACAAGTTTCCTCTGGTCATCAAAGGTATTTCAGAAGAATCTAGGTTTTACTTCAGCGCAGGTTCGACAAGATTTTGTCATTGTTCTGAATTCTTCAATGGAATAGGGAAGGTTTTTAGAGCGAACCCAGTGAAACATTCTCGTTGCCCCTGGATGACAAAGAGCCTCATGCCGCGAGAAAGTTTTTGCAGTACATGTTTCTACAGTGGCACAAACTCGGGATAGTGCATCAGCAGCATAGTTCTCTTTCCCGGGTCTGTATATATTTGAAAGCAGCAAGTTACAGTCGCCATCTTGAATCTTTTCATTCTTTATCTTACTTGAATGTTTCATATTAAACATAAATGAAACCGAGCGTTCGTCAGTTACCAACTTAGTGTCTACCGATAAGGAAGTATCTCCATTTCTTCAATGATTCCACAATGGCGTACGCTTCTTTTTCAATGGCGAAATGGTTTTGTTCGCTTAAATTCAAAGTTCTTGAGAAAAACGCCACTGGTCTAGAATTTTGCGTAAGTACTGCTGTAATGGAATGATCGGAAGCGTCAGTTTCGTCTGTAAAAGGTATATTTTGCGTGTATTGAAGACCTTGCGATATCATTTTTCGAAACATTTAATTTGCTCTCTTGTGAGCGGAAAAGTTGTCGTGTTAGCAAGTGAGCGGATCCGTTCCGAAAAGTTTGGAATCCACTTAGAATAATGTGCGAACATGCCGAGTGACCTTCTTAAGGTCGGTAAATTAATCAGTAGCTTGAGTCGCTCAGTCAGGTTTAATTATGTGGTTTTTAATATTATAGGCTACAATATTAATTGACTCTTGAGAAAATTTGCATTTTTGTATACTCAGTGCCAAACCGTATTTCTTTGCGGCATTCATAAAACTTTCTAAGTTATGATCGTGTTCTTCAAGGTACGGCCAGAAATAGTTATATCATCGAGATACGCATATGTGTTTTGAATTTTCTCTTTTTTATAATTCAATCGATTGTTCGTTGGAAGCTCGAAACACCATTCAATACTCCATAAGGAATACGCCTGAACTGGTACAAATTTCCCAGCGCTTCAAAAGCGGTAAATTTCCTTTCTTTGGGTAGTATACGTACTTGATGTTACGCGCTTTTCAGGTCTCTTAGGCTGAGAAATGTATTCTTTGCCACTTTCTAAACTAAGTCCTCAATGTTTGGTAAAGGATACGCGTCGAGTTCTGTGTAACGATTAATTGTCTGAGAGTAATCAACCACAAGGCGTTTTTTATGAGTTTCACTTTTTGTTATTAGTACTTGGGCCATCCACGGTGATTTACTTTCTTCAATCACGCCCTCTGCTATAAGGTTTCTGATCTTATCTTCAATAAATTCACTATCCTCTTTGCTGTTCCTTCGAGACTTAATAGAAATAGGTTTGTAGTTGGGAGATACATAAACGCAAAAAGCGGTACAGCTGGTACTGATGCTTTAACTACGTTACATACTTAAAGTGGATGTTTTGGCCCACCGAAAGAGAACTCTAGCATTACTTTCTCACTCTAGCAGCTCTCTTCCATTGACGTAGTTAATTTCACTGAGCCCGTCCAACTTAAAGAATCCTCAGCAAAAAGTCGTTGACGAATCATATCACTGCGTAGACTGCACACAAATTGATCTCTCATATTTTCGTCCAGTGTTTTTGAATTCACACGATTTTGCCAAACGTTTCAAATATGTTACAAACTGAGATACTATTTCGTTCTCACACTGCCTACGTTAGCGAAACTTATAAAGTATTCTTATCATTCTTACAATATCGTTGTATTTCATATTAGCGGGTTTACTTCAGCTGCACAGGTTAGTCATCAGTTCATATCCACTTTCAGCAACCACAGATATCAACGTAGGTAACTTTAATTCTTCCTTGACACCGTTAACCAAAAAATACATTTCCAACCTTACACAGTATGAACTGCAATTGCCATTTGAACCGACGAATTCTCCCATTCTACCCATGTTCCTACCCAAAATTCCTCGTCGCCTCTGCGAGAGGACACACGATGAGACACTCTTTATTGCTCAACGTTTATTGCGAAACTGGACTACCGCCCGAAATCGTCTTAAATAGTTTTATCCTACCAGCCTACGTTGTAGTCTACCCTATATCTAAGCATATTAGTCTTTAAACAAGAAAAAATGTACTACAAAAATAAGCATAATAAACTAATTTAGCTGCTGCTTTCTTTGTTAGCCACCTGATCTTGCGTGTGGCTAAGATTATTTTATTTGTTTGAAAGTAGAGAGCTGCAGAGGTGGGAAATCTAAAAATTGTAGCAGTAGACTAGTTTCAGAAAAATTAAATAAAAATTAGTTCTAACAATTTAATGTAAACACATTGAAATTCAGACTTAATTTTTTTTATTAATAGACAAACATTTCAATCTTATTTTATAAACTAGATACAATAGTTAAAAGTAAATGCTAGTATGAATTAGTTATTTTTCTCTTTCTCATTTGCTCCATCCAAGCATCAAGTTGCTCTTGCGGTGTTAAATCATTTCTTTTATAATAATCTTTAGGTGGTTTTCCTTCTTCTAATCTTACAAAATAATGGCTGTACATGTAGCGTACTTCACCCATTCTTTGTCGAGCATGTCTTCTTATGCCTTTTACTACCATTCCTTTATTGGCAAAGGATTCAGCTGAAACAATATGTACTTTCATTAGATTTTTCACAATATTAGGTATCATTATATAAATCCTAGAGTATGTTGGCTGATATTATGAATTCATAATATTTTTAATTGTTCATCAAAAACTTATTCACACCATGTTAATAAACTAATTAAAAAACATAAATTATGTATTATACAAATTAGTTTATTAAATGGTATTTTTTTTGTAATAAATATTAATAATTAATTAATATTTTGGCATTAGAAACTAATAGTGAAGGATGAACGAATACGTATTTTTAAACCAAAAATATAAAAACAATAATTTATATAGTTAGTAACTCACTAAATCAATAAAAAAAATACAGACCAAATTGACCATTGTCTATCTTATGTAACTTAGGTAATCTCATTTTTACCATACATCTTACTTTTTTGTTTTATTTAGGTTATAAAAAAAAGGCCTGAATAGTCCGGAAACAAATTATTTGCTTACTAGTGCCAGTGGATGTTGCTTTTTGTTTTTTTTGCGTAATAACACTCATTATCTTTGTCGTGAAATATCATTAATTATTTACCTCTAATTTAAAGGGTTTTGACGATGCCACCAAAGATGCATTCACCTCTACGGTGGTAGGGCCACGCAGCAGCCTCGGCTGTTGCACGAATGGTAATTGCAGGCTCGTCGAGGTAAGTACCACGACCTCATTTAAGACCGGCGTAAAGTGGAAGTATAATACTTTCACGATTCGTCTGGTGAGTGAGGTGGCCGGAGCCCAATTTTAAAAAGGTTGTCAACGCGTCTTGAACCCTCGGGTGTAGAGATGTCCATGGGCGGCGGTATTCACTTAACATCAGGTGAACCGTCTGATCGTTTGACTACTTTTTGAAGGGTATAGGAATGCTCAGATGAGGGAAACCAACCTTTTATTAATATTATTTATTATTATTTAAAATATCACTGACCGTTTTTTTACTGTAATACATTTTCTTAAGACCATAGTGTAACTTTTCTATCCATTGACAAAGAGAACAATTACTAGTGTTGTGCTGTGTGCACTTCTTAATAGCGATGTACCCACTAACACCTTCTCCTATTATTAAGATTGTTTACATCTTAAATAATACCTGTTATTCTATGCTAGCAAAATTTTGTTGTTGTGCTTCTCAAGTTATATTCCTATATCATGAACTTATTTAGTTGACAATATTTTGGGCGTGAAAATTAAATTTATTATTCAACAATGGTTTTGTAAATATGTCTGCAGTCTGTTTATCAGTGGGACAATATTTAATATTAATTTTACCCTTTTTATAATTTTCATGAATAAAATAGTACCTCACATCAATGTGTTTGGATCTTTTATTGAATGAACCTATTTTGATCAGCTGAATAGCGCTTTGGTTATCCACATTGAATATCATTTCAACTTCAGTTCCAATCAGCTCCTTTAAAAATGACTTTAAATAAAAGCATTCCTTACAGCAATCAGCTGCTGCAATATACTCTGCCTCGGTTGATGATAAGGCAACAATTGGTTGTTGTTTTGAACACCAAGACACAGGTCCTTCTGCCAACATTATCACAAATCCGGTTGTACTGCGTCTTGTCTTGGTACAATTGGCATAGTCTGCATCACAGTATGCATTTAATTTTGAAATATCTCCTCCTTTCTTGTACATGATTCCTTTCTGTCTTGTTCCATTTAAATATTTTAGTATTTTCTTTGCAGCTATCACATCATCTTTCGTAGGGTTTTCTATTTTTCTGCTTGCTTCATTTACAGCTTGACTTATGTCTGGCCTTGTTCTTGTAGATACGTATAGAAATCCTCCAATCAGTTCTCTATATGGGAAATTTGTAGTATCTGTGTTTTGCGTTTTCTGTTTTCTTTTCTGTATTGCAAGGTGTATTAACAGGCTTAGAATCGTCCATACTAAATTTCTTCAATAAGTTTCCAATGTAGCTTTCTTGTTTCAGTGTTATACCTTTCTCAGTCTTCTTAACTTCTAATCCAATAAAAGTAGTAGGATCGTTGTATACTTTTATTTCAAATTCCTTTTCTAGGGAATTTAAGATGTTTTTTAATGTTTGCTTTTCTTTAGCCAATGCAAGCCCATCATCTACATAGATTGCTATTATTGTTGTATTATCTTCATTAGTAAATACACACTGATCTGTTTTAGTAGCTTTTAAACCAAGTTTTAACATTTCTTTTGTAAATCTTTTGTTCCATGTAATAGGAGCTTGTTTTAACCCATATAAGGATTTCTTTAATCGACAAATTTTTCCAGGTTGTTTTTCATATCCATCCGGTATATTCATATACACATTTTCTTCCAGCTCTCCATATAAAAATGCAGTCTTAACATCGAATGTCATCATGTTATAGTCTTTAGAAGCAGCAAGTGCAAATAAAGATTTTAAAGTTGACTGACTGACAACTGGACTGTAAATTTCATTATAGTCAATACTGTTTTGTTCAAATCCTCGTACAACAAGTCTAGCTTTATAAGTGCCATTATCTTTCACACGGAATACCCATTTGTTTGAAAGTATTTTACTATCTTTTGCCTCTTTTTTGTTTACTATTTCCCAGGTATTATTGATTTCCAGGGATTCCTTCTCCGAATTTATAGCCTTCTCCCAGTTTTCTCCCTCTTTAGACGTTACAGCCTCCCTGTAAGTAAGTAAACTGTAGTCTCTTAGATGTATTGGTATGTGTTTCATTCTCTTGCTTCTTCTTAGGTAACCATCTTCTTCATTATGTCTGTTTCTTTCTCTTTCCATGTCTTCTGATTCAGTTTCTGATACTACATCTTCAAAAGTCTCATCATTTTTATTTTCTTCTGTTCTGGTATCTTCTGTTGTCTCTTCCTGCTTTTCTATAATCTTTTCCTGGTTTTCTGTAGTCTCTTCCTGGTTTTCTGTTGTCTCTTCCTGGTTTTCTGTAGTATCTTTCTGGTTGTCTGTAGCCTCTTCCTGGTTTTCTGTTGTCTCTTCCTGGTTTTCTGTTGTCTCTTTCTGGTTTTCTGTTGTCTCTTTTTCATCATTTTCACTTTTATTATTATTTATTTTCTTATAATTTTCTTTCTGTTGTTCAGTTTCACTTTCTACTATCACTATGTCCCTTGATATCTCTATTTTTCTTTCCTTGTCATTCCACAGTCTGTACCCATTATTAGTGTATCCAATCATTATTAGTTTCTTGCTTCTAGGATCCAGTTTCTTTACATTTGGATGTAACTGTTTTGCATAGACAGTAGAGCCAAACTTTTGCATATTAGATATATTAGGCTTTTTTCCAACCCACATTTCATATGGTGTTTTGTTTTTTTTAGGGCATCACTTGGTAGTCTGTTTAAAATATAAGTAGCACAATATATTGCTTCACCCCACATTTCTTTGTCCAATTTAGAATCAAAAAGTAATGCTCTTGTTTTTTTCTAATAATGTCCGGTTTAGGCGTTCAGCTTTCCCATTTAATTGTGGTGAGTAGGGCACTGTGTAGTCTAATTTTATGCCTTTTTGTTGACATAATGCTTTAAAATCGTTACTTGTATACTCACTTCCGTTGTCGCATCTTATAGTCGATACTTTACTATTTTTCTCTCGCTCCGTTTCTTCAATATAAATTTTTATTTTTCCTTTTTTGCATCACTCTTATTTTTAAGTAAATAGATTTTTGTAAAATGGCTGTAGTCGTCCATTATTGTTAATACATACCTGTATCCATCATGAGTCTTCTCCTCAAAGGGACCACAGATGTCTGTGTGCATTATTTGTAGGTATCTTTCAGCCCGAGTTCTGACTGTATTAAATGGTAGTCTTGACTGTTTTGCTTCAGCACATATTTTACACTGTTCTTGTAATACTTTTGGTCCTTGTATATTTATGCCGTCTGCCACTTTTGTTAGTGTTTCTAGTACTGATTTACCCGGGTGTCCTAGTTTTGCATGCCATTCCAATGCTGTTCCTTTTACTTGTGTAAGTAAAGATTTATTTTTGTTTTTCAGGTCTTGTTCTAAATTTACCCTGTATAAGCCATTTTCTTTTTTACCAGTTAAAATTAAATTTGAATTTTTGTAAATCTCCACTTTATTCTTTGTGAACACAACAGAGCCATCATTATTGGTAACACAATTTACAGACAAAAGGTTTTGTGCTAGGTCTGGTATAAGTAAAGTCTTTTGTAAATCGCATGACATTCCATGGACAGTACCTGATCCTTGTGCTTTCATTTTTTCATCATTGGCTGCATAAACTGTAGAATCCATTTCTTTGAAATTGCTTAAAATGCTGGGGTCATTTGTCATATGCACTGTGCTACCAGAATCTACTATAAATTTTAATGAAGTCGATTCAGAGTTTTGTGTCAAAAAGGCAACATTTTTGTGTTTCTTACTATCACCTTTTTTCTTAAAGAAACAATTTTCTTCTGTATGATTATTTTTCTTACAAATTGAACAACAGCTGTTTTTTAACTTACAATCTTTCTCTTCGTGGTTGTATCTTTTACAGAAAGTGCACATCTTACAATCCTTTTTTAGATGGCCTATTTTGTGACATTTAAAGCATTTTATGTTTTTATTCTCCGCTTTAAAAGCAACCTGTTTGTACTCAATTTTCCTTTCTGTAAATCTGTTTTCTTCTGATAAAAGTCTGTTAGTTAAGTTGGTAAGTGTCTTTTTGTCATCGGGTGTTGATTCCCATGCTGTGATGAAGAATTTATATTGGTTTGGTAAGCAGGTTAATATTTTTGATATCACCATGTCATCATCAATGTTTTGGCTAAGATTATTTAATCTCATCCTCAAGTTTTCTATATCTGTGATCAACTGTGACATTGTCTGGTTTTCAAATTTGAAGTTAAAGAAATCTTGTAATAAGGAAGACTTGTTTCTTTCTTCAGATCCTTCAAATACTGCACATAGCTTATTGTACATTTCATATGCATTTTTGCAATTTATGATGTGACCTTTTAGTTTTCTATCTATGGAGTTCAATATCAACTTCTTTACCTTAG